AGATAATTTTGTTCTCCTACGAACAAAAAACCCTCAAAAGGCCAATTCTGCAACAAACCCTGAACTAAGAACTACAGATATTCAACGCTGTGGTAATTTTCTGCACCTATGCAGGCCTGACTACCGCTCTGACTAATGGTACATTGTACCTGCGGTGTAACTTCTATTTTTGCAAGAAGAAAAGAAATAGCACAGGTCTTCAGACACCTCCTGCAATACTAATAAGAATACATTATTATAGCCTGCACAGTACAGCACATACTTAAAAAAACCAAACCAAACCCCAAAACTGAGTATTACATTCTTGTCTATATTAAAACACTTGGGAAGTTTTGCTGTTTAGGTTACTACCACTGCCTTTAAATCGTGTAGAATTACATTTGTGCCTAGCTGTATTTTCACAGTCATAAACCCAAGCTGTTGATTGTTTGAATCATTTCACTCATGACTCATATTAACACAGCAACGGATCTATTTAAAGCGTGTATAAATACACAAAGAGGCATTTGGCAGATGACTATTTTAGATTAAAGCCTCTTGCTTCAGCTTTCCACGCAGATAATGCACAGTCCCCAAACTGCACCAGCAGCAGGCAATACCGACCAACCAGTATGCTCTGGGGAACGTCATACCCTGGTCTCTCCAGTTCTACCCTTACTTTTTAATGTCCTGTGGCAGTAAATGCCCAGTAACGGCAGAACAAGGAGCACCCCACTTAGGATTCAAAAAACAAATCAAAACAACTCGGAACTTCAAATAATTTTCTAAGCATTGTACTATCTCAAGGCAGAGTGAGGACCACCCGGCTATCTGCAACGCACGCTTTTCCCCTGGTGCTACAGAGATTACGTCCCCAACTCTTTAGCTGCTAGGAGATGCTTCAGGTTGATTTTGGCACCCGATGAAACAGAAACAAACAAGGCTCCTTCACTGAAGAGGATTAACAAGAGAAAAGAACATTGGGGAGAGAAGAGACAAGTTAACATCAACAGGATGACACACAGTATCCCAAAGGCTAAGGCATGACATGAAGGAGCGACAGTCATTTTAAGTTCCTAAACAAAATAACTTTTTAGTGGATTATTTCATCGTAACACTGAAAACAGGATGAGACTAGGGAGCGTGCCCTCAGGAAAGACACGGTGTCTAAGAATTACAGGAGCAAATCTGACCACTGGATTGTGGCAAAGGCAGAAAGTGGGACAATAGCTGACATTGCCTATGGGCTGAAAAGAAAAGGAGCACAAGAAGTTGAAGCTGATGATGCAAGGGAGGGAATGCTGTGAGAATGATACATCCAAAATTTAGCAGCTACATTTTCTCTGTCCTGGAAGCTTTGAAAACAGAAGGCAGGGAAGATAAACAGAAGGTTGTAACACTTCATAGAGACAATAAGGTGAAAGTTGGAATTTTTATCCCCGTGAATAGGTAATATGAACAGGATAGTCATATAAATAGAAAAAAAAACCCAACAGCAGGTTTGAGAAGACAGTGTGGGCACTGAAAGGATGCATAGAGGGTGTTGAAGAGGTGTTTTAGGATATGGCCTGAGTGGGAAGAAATGTTCACGTGCCACAGAGCAAAGGGATGAAGGAAATTGAGAAAAAACATACTAAAGTTCATCTGCTTGTGACTAATCTGGTTTGACATACCGGTCTTCAGGACAGCTGTGAAAGATTAAGCATGAGATACAGGGCAGGACAGACAAAAATATGCAAAGAGAAGGAGGAAGTGCTGCCTGATGAAATGATCCCACCCCTCTCAGCAGGGTATCGAGAGGAAAAGGGGAGAAGGGAAAGACAGCCCTGCACCGTTCCCTTCAGAGACAGAGTAGGAGGAGGTGGTCACACACCGCAGAATGAAAAGGCCAGTTTGGTACCAGAAGTAACACAGAGATCTACCAATACACGATGCTCCATCTGACTGGTGCCAACAAGGACTTACTGCTTTCAGTACAGGCGCTATCTCAATTCAATCAGCTCCACGCGCAGCACTGACCATCCCACGTTTTAAAGGAGAAGGTGAAGAGGTAGGCAAAGGATCAAGGAAAAACCAGTACCACCCATCCCAATTAAAAGGACAGAGAGAGGGGAGGGAACTAGTTTAACAAATCACTTCAAATACAACTAAGCAGTAAGAAAAGATGAACACAAAATATGAGTCTAATGACCTTGTATGGAAGGAGACATTGGAAACCCAGGTAAAAACTGCTCCACTGAGCTGCAGGGTGCAGACACAGATGGGAGGAGAAAATAAGAAAGCAGTTAGTGTAGAGACCATGAACTTGGAGGTGAGACAATAAAGACAACAGGAATAGCAGGTGTTTAGACAACTGAAGTCTTACAGCCAGCTATTTCTGGGGAATGAGGAAAGCAGAGCTTGCCTGTTACTTGTATGGGGAATGAAGGAGAAAGAAAGGACTAAGAACAGATGAATAAAGACTGACAAGTACGAGAGCAACAGAGCATCTTAAGATTCCCTGATAGCCAAAACTAGGATGCCAAGTAAGGCGAGAACACAAACCCAACCACAAATGGCTTTCAGAACGAAGAAAGAGGGTGAAAATGAAAAAAGTGGGCAAGGATCCCAGCAAGGCGCTCGGAAAGGGCTTTTATGAAATTGCTCCTGTGATTAATGTACTAGAACAGCATAGTGAACAGTTTATTTGCATCTTTGAAGGAGAAAGGAGTTCTGGGAGATCATTGCAGTCACTTTGCATTTTGTCAAGCAAAAATAACGTTAATACCCAAGAACAGCTATTAGGAAACAGTGAATTCTATTAATTAAAAAAAAAGTAAAATAAAAACGCTGTTATCGAAGGAGTATCACCACCCAGAGAACACTACCATTGCTATCTCCTACCAGGACACAAAAGTTTTGAAAACCTGTGCCTGCAGGGCTGTCTAATTTAAACCTAAAGCGACTAGGTTAAGCACACACAGCTATTTAGAATGAATATTTTTCAACAAGCACAGATCCTAAGAAACGTTTACCTACAGGCCACACATAATCCAAATTACTATTTGAAAAAAAAAAAAAACCACCAAACCCCAGAATGTTGGATGTGTCTGTGCAGGATCATGATCAAATCTTATGCAGCAAATTAACACAGTGAAGAAAACGATCAGAAATAGGCTATGAGGGTACAAATACACACGATGATAGTAGGCAGAAGGATACTCACTGAATCCTCGTCTTGAATCATCTGAACTAAATTATCAAGTACTGGAGTGAGATTTCTGAGGGAAAAAAAGTTAGGAAGATGATGAAATCAGCAGCTTCTCCTCATCCATTCTCTTGTTCTTTAAAAGAATGAAAAGCCTTACTTGGATTTCATGTTGTTAAAGTTTTTGCCTAACGCCAAGTGTCTTATCGATCGGTTTTTACTAAGCCAGACTACAAGGGTTGAGAGGTCAGATTCTAGGCCTGTAAAGAATCAGATTAGATTAAGAATTAAAACACGTTTTCACAAAAGACCCAGGCAGGGTCCAATTATTCACACTATATCCATTCAAATTACTGTATCTGTGTACTAATTTCCAAGAGCTCTAGAAAGATTTCCGTTCTTCTACTTTTAAATCTTTTTCTCTTTTTTGCCTCTGTTTTTCTATGAGAATACATGCTTTCTTTAAAATGAGCCCTTTAAATCTCCATCTTAATCAGCCGTTGAAGGCACCTCTCAGAAACACAGCAGAGAAACGTCGACCCTTATCCATCGTCCCACCATCCAAGCACAGTTCCTTGTGCCGTCAGGCAGAGTTTAAAGTTCCTTTAAGAATTTTGAGACCACTCTAATTGCTCTTTAGGCTTAGTAGAGCTGTGTACCAACAAGGTCTGGAAGCCTTCAAGTACAAAAAGGCTAACGTAACAGGCTATGAATAAAATGACCTGAAAAACAAGCCCAATTTTACTCTACTCCTGGGTAAGAAAAATGACTTGCTGTCGTATTGTATCCCCAAACTAGTGGTGTATTTGAAGAGTCCACTAGTTAGATCACAATGACTGCTGATCCAGGTCTGCAGGGTAATTTAGATGTCAAATATCTTTATTTATTTATAACAACCAATCGTAATCAGGCTGAGCCAGCAGCTCCCTGAGCTTTCCACCTGCCAATCCATCCCACCTTTCTCGGCATT